CCTCTACATCTTGAGGGCTATTGTGTTGGGTGACCATATTGTAAATTAATATTAAAAACTAAAACCTGCAAAAAATATATTTTCAAACGATTTATTGTCAAATTTAGTCTAATAATTGAAAACATGGATGAAATAAGAAATATGAAACAAATAAAATAAAATGCGTACAAAGCAGAACACAGCTAAATGTATCAAAAGTATGTCTATGTAATATTAGAATTTTCTGAGACAATGAATTTTGTTTTTGTTTTTTTCCTCCCAGTAAGAGGTTTTTATTTAATAGAATTTTTGGACAAAAAAATTGCGATATCGCCTTGCTCATAGTATTGCAATATATCGGGACGTATCGTATCGTGACCCCTCTGTCATGATATGTATCATATCGCCAAATTCTTGCCAATACACAGCCCTAGAGTCAACCGTCTTAATATTTTTGTTTTTTTGAGGCAAAAAATCTTTGCACTTTATCTAATTGATGTTCTTTCTGGCTGCTCTCCAGTATGATGAGTTTGTCCCGTCTTCGATCACCACAAAATTTGGTGGATTCTACGTGAATTCAGGTGTGCTGCAGTTCCGCCAGACCTCCGACACCGAGACTGATGACCTCTCAGCAGAAGAGGGAACATATCCAAAAGTACGTGAATCTCGGAAACATAAATATATATATTTTTAACATCTTGGAAATTTCAGGAAGTACATCTCAGTTTTCAGCACTGTTTATTCTCCAAACATTAAGCTTTTGTTCCATGATTAAAGTTCTAAACTGTGGGAACAAATTGTCAGAAACTGAAACTCGTCAGTGAAAAGCAGAAGTCTTGCAAATCTAAAGGAATCGTGAAAAGCGCTACGAAGCAAAAGTTCAAGTGAGTCCACCAAAAAGCACCAGCACTCCCACCGGAGTCTGTGTGATTTAATTCACTCACATGATTGTTTATCCTGCAGCGCTCTATATAAAGCCGGGCTGAATGAGATGACCATCAAAAAGAAGAGGAAGGCTGTAAAGACGCTGAGTGTCACCAGCATGCTGAAAAAGTTTCAGAAGGAGAAGGAAAAGGAGTGTCAGAAGATGGAGCAAGCCAATCGGATGGCAGCAGACATGAGTGCACCCRCAGCCCCCACGCTTCCTGCAGACGCCGCTGGGGGTGGTGGCTCCGCTCTGACGGACCCTCTTCTCAGTTTAATCGGCTCCACCAATGATCACGCTCTGATCCAAGCGGCRAACACTGTGGATTTTGATATCGACTTGGACTCTTTATTAGACGTCAGCGAGGAGAATTTATCTCCAAAGTCCCATCCTCAGCCGGCTACAGAGACTCAACTTATCCAAGCCAGGAGAGATGAGATTCAGACGAGCTGTTTGCCTGAAGCTGACCCCCAAGTTTTAAACCCGACAGTCACGTTTGTGCCAAAGCCAGCACCAGAGCAGATCCAGCAGCTGACTGAACCCAGTATGGTGGTACCACCTCAGTGTGCCCCGCTGCCAGAGGGACTACCTCCAGCTCTGGAGGACAGCATCAGATGTCTCATGATGGTAAGAGAGTTTTAATTAGTGAATCCTAAGATAAAGAATCTGTGTGCTGAAAGATGAAACTGACGAATGTTGGACGGATAAACAAAATTCACCAACTTTTCAGGCTGCCAAGACATCAGAAGGGGAGTCAAAGCTCAAGTTCTTTAATCCAGATATCAACTCAATCCTGCTGGAGTGAGTTATTTTACATCATTGCATTGATTTATCTCATGTAAACTGATAAGGTCAAGTGCTTTTCTCCCAATATTCTTAGATTGTCTAGTTCAGCTGAACTCAATTTACTTTACTGGCAACAGTAAATGTTAAAGCATGGATGACCTCTTCCTAAAGAACTCCATAAACAATCAGCTGAATAGTTTTGTCCGTATTAAACACTGGATGCTTTCAATTAATCTTTTGGTTCAGTATTGAGTTGCAGTGTCAGGAGCAGAGTGGTCAGCTCCGCTCCAAAGTCTACAGGCATCTGTCATCGTTCATGCCCTGCAGCAAAGACACACTTTTAAAACGAGTGAAGAAGCTGTTGGTCACGCATGAGGTGAGTGGGCTTAAGGTTTAAATCAGGTTACAGTATGTCCGTACTTCATGCCTTACACTTATTTCTTTCATTTTCTCTTAAAAGGGACCTCATCGTGTGGAAGGTTCCATGCAGGAGCTGAAGGAAGCCATTGAAAGATCGATGCCCGAGCAGATGGCGTGTTTTCATGAAAACTGTCAAGCTTATGAACAACTCAAAAATTCAAAGTAAGTCCTTCATTACAAAGTAGGGAAGAAGAATAAAAAAATATGTAACTTTTTATCACACACATTTGGAATACACTGAAGCAGGGTTGGGCAACTTAAGAGATGTGCTTTTAAGCTCTTTTTCATCTAAGTTCAGTTGGGGTCTATATAAAGTGGAAGTGCATTACTTTGGTCAAAATTCCTCCTTATTGTAACTCCACAAGCCCCTCTCTTCTTAAGTATGTCTCAAAGCTGCTTGTTTTGATGCTGTTTCTTTAAATCCAAACAAAGTGCTTTACACCCCGTCCCCCCAGTATCTTACAAAGCAGTTTATTCTAGTTTGATAAAGGGTTTTACAACTATATAGCAGCGCAGAAATGTTTTGTTTACAAATTATTAAAAGACGTCAACGACAAAAGACGTGTCCAGCCTTGCATGTTGGAGCCAGAGTCTGACTCGGAGAGAGGAGAATGAAGAYGACAACCTTGTAGTTTCTAAGTCTAGACTTAATTTGGCACTTCTGTTGCAAATAGTTTGACTTAATGGTTCAGAAAATGTCATTGAAAAAGGAGAAAACTGAACCTGTAGAAAAATATGACTCCAAAACAATCTAATAAATGAAGCACCGGGAGAGACTACGTTCAACTTTTCTGGACTCCTAGAGACTTCAAGTCTACAACAAAATGCATTTAATGACTAAAGTGGATTTGCATGATATGTTCCCTTTTAATGATGGAAGGGGCCTATGATTTTTTTTATTGACTCTAGAGGGATGCACAATTCTGCACACTTAAATGTAATGAAACTGCCATTTTGAAAGTTGTTTGTGGGAAAAAAAAAGCACTTTAGTGAGCTGAAGTGCAATAGACCTCCCTGAGAGCAGATTCATGTTTGGTTGTGGTATGAAGTTATTGTGGTTTGTGTACTTGCAACAGTGTATTTACGTACAGTTTCTGACAGTAAACTTATATTTAGCTTTGCACAATGTTGTAGTGGTGACATATTAAAATTTTTCATGGCAGACTGTGTTTCTAAGCCTAAACACATAGGCTTGCCTTGAAATTATGTGAAAAGATAATATAAATAATGTATTTCAATATTTTTGGGGGGCATCCTCATTGGCAGACCAGATGTAGCCTACAGGCAGCCAGTTGCCCATCCCAGGTTCCCATGGGTCCTTGAAATCCTTGAAAGTTTGGGAATTTGAAAAATTATTTCAAAGCCCTGGAAAGTTTGTGTAAACAGCCAAAAATTATACTTGTCCTTAAAAGTCCTTGAATGTTTTTTGAAGATTGAAATTCTGTTCACACAACTGATTTTCATTTTTTTAAATAATAAATTGTAAAATTTAATTTAAAAAAAGTACATTTGTTGAGGTGGATAACTCAGGATTACAGTAAACTGATGTCATTTTTTCTAACTCAACAACTTCTATGTTGTTCAGTTTTTCATTGAGTTTACATGATATTAAACCTGTTTATTGGTAACATTCTGCGGGAGCAGTAGGTAATTGCCGTTGTGTGGTTCTTTAATTTGAGGAAACTGGTACTGGAAAGTCCTTGAAAGGTCCTTGAATCTGATGTTGATCAATGTGTGGGAACCCTGCCATCCCTGCACTAATGGATTCCCAAAACCTTGATCTGAGATGCTTAAAGGCACAGTGTGTAGGATTTGTTGTTTTCAGCGACATCTAGTGGTTGAGTGGTTGAATCATCCTCCGTGGTCCTCCCCCCTGCTTAATTAACACTTATTGTTAACAGGGGGTGGAGTGATACTGGCAATAGCAGTGCTGTAGGAGGGGGACAACTGAAAACGGAGGCCTCCACCTCTGTTTAATGATGGGCGGTCTTACAGGGGGTTATAACTGAATTCTAAGCATATAGACCTTATTGATGACATTTTCTCTACATACAGGCTCATAGCTTGTCTAGATGCTATAAGAGACTGGATGGCTGATAGTTAAATGTTGACAAGCATCAGATTGTTGCTCCTGACAAGGTGCTGCCTTTGATCAGGCAAACTCTTGGCAGCTCTCCTCTGCTGTCCATACAAATGTTGGTGCTCTGTTTGATCAGTCTTTGTTTGATGCACATGTATAACAGCTGATGTTTTTTTTTCCTTATTTAAGAAACATCAGCAAGTTGATCTGTCCTTTCAGTTGAAGAGCCAGAGATGCTTGTTCATGCTTTCATTTCCTCTCGGGTGGACTACTGTAATGCTCTGTTTTTTATTTGTTTGCAGGCTTTTCAAAGTGCTGCAGCTAGATTGCTCACTAAGTCAAACAGATGCTCTCATCACTCCCCTGTTATATTCACTCTATTGGCTTCTTGTGGAGTTCAGGATCCATTTTAAAATTCTTACAATCACTGCAGAGCACTGCATGCCCAGGCTCCCACTTATATAGCAGATCTACTTCACACACGGACCCTCACGCAAAATTAGATCCAGTAATTCCAATCAACTACTTGTTCCTTGATCACAACTACATGGGGATATAGCATTTCGGGTTGTAGCGCCTAAATTTTGGAACGCATTACTGCAATCTCTAAGAGCTGTGAATTCAGTGGAAATTTTTAAAAAGCAGCTTAAAACTTTCCTTTTTCAAGCAGGCTTTTAACATGTTTAAGTTTTTATGTTTGGAGGCTCAATGCCTCCAAATCCGAGGCCATGGTCTTGAGCCGGAAAAGGGCAGAGTGCCTTCTCCGGGTCAGGGGGGTCGCCCTGTCTCAAGTGGAGGAGTTTAAGTATCTGGGGATCTTGTTCACGAATGGGGGAAGAACGGAGCGGGAGATCGACAGGCGGATTGGCGCAGCGTCTGCTGYAAAGCGGGCGCTGTACCGGTCCGTTGTGGTGAAGAGAGAGCTGAGTCACAAAACGAAGCTCTCGATTTACCGGTCGATCTACGTTCCTACCCTCATCTGTGGTCATGAGCTTTGGGTCATAACCGAAAGAACGAGGTCCCGGATACAAGCGGCCGAAATGGGTTTCCTCCGCAGGGTGGCTGGGCTCTCCCTTAGAGATAGGGTGAGAAGCTCRGTCATCCGGGAGGGACTCAGAGTAGAGCCGCTGCTCCTCCACGTCGAGAGGAGCCAGTTGAGGTGGCTTGGGCATCTGGTAAGGATGCCTCCTGGACGCCTCCCTGGTGAGGTATTCCGGGCACGTCCCACCGGGAGGAGGCCCCGAGGAAGACCCAGGACACGCTGGAGGGACTATGTCTCTCAGCTGGCCTGGGAACGCCTTGGAGTTCCCCCGGAGGAGCTGGAAGAAGTGGCTGGGGAGAGGGAGGTCTGGGCCTCCCTTCTGAAGCTGCTGCCCCCACGACCTGACCCCGGATAGGCGGAAGAAAATGGATGGATGGATGTTTTTACGTTGTCCTATTAATGTTTTTAACATTTGTAAATGTTTTATATGCTCTGTTTTATTTAGAATTTTTATTGTGAAACACTTTGGCTACTTGACTGAAAAGTGCTACACAAATAGTTACTTACTGTCCCTGAGCTTCATATGCAGATCTTTGTCTCCATCAGGTCAACAGAGGAGGAAAATGTGGAGGACAAAGTTGGTAGACGAGGAGGTCCCAAGAAGTTGTTCGAATGGAATCAGGAGATTAGGTTAATTGTAACAAACCTGGTTTACTGGATATTCTTCTTCCATTGAAACGGATGTTTACAAATGTCTTCCTTGGCTTTTCCCATCGTCATATACAGAGAATGCTTGGGTCGTGTACTGAGGGAGAAAATGGGGTGTGATAAAATGGATGGCAAGAAATACCAAGACAATGAAGAGTATGTTAAAACTCTGCTGGACAATGAGGTGAAACCACTTTGGCCAAAAGGATGGATGCAGCTAAGGTATGCAAAACCTGAATTTTCAACATTTCTAAATGTGCAGTTTGTAGAAAGGGTTTATTTAATCGCAGGGTGCTGATGAGGGAGAGCAGGAAGTTGTTGGGCTTCTTTACTCCATTACAGTGAGTTCAAGTCCATCTGAATTTTCACTTGGTTTGCAGCACATTTTTTATCTCTAACGTTAAATGTTTTCATGTGTTCAGATTAAATAAGGCCAAGGGTTTGAAAAGGCAGTTATCTGGTGGTGCTTCCACATCATCGGATGCTTGCAACAATCTTCAGGGATCTCCAGCACCATCAGAACTCTCCATAGGACCAGGCCAGGTCTTTGCTGAAGGTTCAACCAGCACCAATTGTGTTGGTCAGGAGTCAGCGGTGAAAGAATCTGACACTCCTTCTGCTCATTCGCTGCTAGATATCCTCGCTGAGCAAGCACTGGCTCATGAGTACCCTGCCGCACTTTCCCACGAACATTTAGCAGCTGTAGGAAAGCACTGGAACTTCAGTGAGGTCAAAAGTCCTCTTCCTCCTCCACCTCCTCAGTCAAGCCCAGTCAGTTTCCCTGAGAGTGGCCTTTGTCCCATTGTTTTGCCTCACCTGTTGCAAGTCAGAGCAATAAAGCGTGGATGCTGGCCAGGCACAGAGTAACTGATGCTGACTTAACTGTAAACTTAAAAGCTGTAACATGCACAGAAATGCTCATTTTTCCTTAATGTTACAGTTCACTGATTTGGAACAGTGACGTTTGGTTCAGGCTCTACTCGGGGGAGTGAAATGCCAAGTGGCAGGAATTCAGTATTTTTTTGTCACAATTGTTAAATTCTAAAAATATTGATGGGGGTGACTGTCTCAATACTTTCATTTAATTGGTGTCTGATGGTCTACACCTGGTATTTGGAGTGGGAAGCTGTAGAGTTGTGTAAACTTTAGCATTAAAATTTTTTTAAGAAATATAGTTACTCAACTTGAAGAGTTGAAGATCTTCAGTGTTGTGCTGGAGTTTAACTTTGTGCTAATCCCTCCACGGTAGCCTTACTAAAGGTCATAAACRGCACTTCATGCATATTTGTTCTAAGGTGTTTAATAGTTTGTCTGGCCATTGGATCCACTTTGCACAATGTAATATTTTTGATGTGAAAATGATCAAATTTGTTTCCAGACCGAATTAAAAAAATGTCAATGAAAATGAGCAGAGAAATTAACTTTTTCCTTGTAATCATTAATCTTAATGAATATTAATCTACAAGCAATTCTGACTACATCTAAAATTAGTTTATTTCAATAATTTGGTTTATTAAAGTKCTCATCTTACATTTCAAATCAAAGAAATGTTATTTTCCTAATAAAAAAACAGAACTTAAACCTCACATCAGCAATGACCATGAATGTTTTTCATTGAACCACGTGGTGAACACTATATTTAATGTATACAACACAGATACTGTACAGCTCTGGGAAAAATAGAGAGACCACTTTAAATGATCAGTTTCAATGATTTTRCTCTTTATAGGTTTGAATAAATTGAACATTATTTTATTCTATAAACTACTGTCAACTGACTCAAATTCTAAGCAAAAAGTATTCATTTGTAGAAAATGAGAAATGGTCACAATTACCAGACATGCAGTGCATTTAGACCTCAAATAATGCACAGAAAACAAGTTCATATTCATCTAGAAATAAGAGTTTTAACTCTGGAAGAGTTGAGAAATCAATATTTGGTGGAATGCTTTCCATAACTTACAGGAAAACTATGCAGTGGTCTTATTTTATTTAATTTCTTTTTTTCCCCCAGATATATATATATATATATATATATATATATATATATATACACACACACACGCGCAAAAACAAACAAAAGTAGGATTTTTAAAATGTGACAAAATCCATTTAGAAATTAGATTTGGAACTTTTTAACCAACAACCAAAATATTTAACCAACATAACTCTCTTCACACACAACAAATTATGTACTTTTTTATTTCCTAAAAATAAGAGTTAAACAGCTGACACAAAATGAAACTGTTGATTCAAGTTAGTCAAAGCAAAAACTGATGATCTATGTACACAGGAAATAAAACACTAAATTAGATGTGTAATAAAATGTACAAAACATTTTTTCAGAGCAGCAGAAAAAAGATAAACAGCATATTGTACTTATTTGGTGATAGAACATGTACCTGGGAGGTGGCTCTTTAGTAGAGAGCATCTTTGAGACTTATCCTTTTTGTTGATAAAAATACAGGAAATGAAGCTTTCAAATTAAATTGTTGGATGAGTCAAAGATAAATGTCCATAAGCATTTTCTTCATTGGGAAAAACTTGTCCAAACTGTAGGATGAGGGCCGTGAGACTTTTCATTTCTTGGTTTTAGAGTCTTTGGATTATCTGAGCCAGAAGAGCGGCCAATATGAAGCATCCATTACAGCTGTTTGCAGTTCCTAGGAAAAGRAAATGATTTCATCAGCACAACTTTAAACTTTTTTTTTCATCCAAAAAACAAAGCACTTCTCAACGCTGAGGCAAATGACACAAAATGATCACAGAAAGTTGTTTTAAAGTTTTAATTTGAATAATTTAGTTTGAATCCTACCACTTCCTCCTAATTGTTGGTTTCCTATTACTTCGTGTTTTAAACCTTCTGTCTCTTCCTTTTGCAGTTTTGTAAGACTGATGGGGTTTGGAGCTGCTGAGATGAAAGGAAATTACATTTTTAATGGCTTATTGAAGAGAAAACTGAGTGTTGCATAAACCTAACACTTTAAAACGTAACAATAAATGTTAGATTTACTCACAAAGGACCAGAGCTGTGAGGTTTTGCGATGTCTTTACCGAAGGTGGCTGTTGTGGCCCTTCAGGTCCCAGATCTAGTTTGGCTTCACACCAGTACTGACTTCCATTGTCCTCTTTACATGGAGTGATGGTCAGAGTGTAGTTCTCACTTACTGGTGTCATCACTGTGATATTGGACCAGAGTTGACCCAGTGCTGTATTTCCTTGGTAGAAGGTCACACTGACTTTTGCAACAGGTGCAATATTGTGAACTGTGCACTGCAGAGCATACTGATGCCCCTCAAACATTGGCCCAGTGTGATTTAAGATTTTGATGGAAACGCTGCTTGGAGGCTCTGTGGAGATAAAGCGACACTTTGGCCACTCTGAAAAGCTTGATGTTGGGAATTTAAAACCATTGACTCACCATAGACAATTGAAGGAAGAGAAATGTTGCATTGGCCGCCATGGTCAGAAACTGCGTAACATGTGGATACGATGGTCCAATTAGTCACACTGTCCACGCTCCAGACCAGAGAATCTTCTGTAGTGGAATCAGAGCGTCCCTGAGGTCAGAAACACAAGTCATCGAGTCGTTATTTAAAATAAGACAATATATTCTGTAGTTGTAACAGAAAGGTGCATCTTCAGATTGATCAATATACTTGTACAATATAACCGAAGACAAATTTTAGAGAATCCATTTTGATATATTCCTGGAGTTGATCATTTAAAATTTTAACCTAGACTAGAAATCTCTTGCATAAGGAGCTATGGAAAAAACACGAAGGGTATGACATTTAAAAAATAACTATTTCATTATTGTGTTCTTTTATTTAATGTTGGCGCTAACTGCAACAGTTCATCACATCATCTGCAAATGGAAACATTTTATGTTGCAAAAAAGAAAAGCATGACTTTGAGAAGCTTTCATTTACATAGATTAATTTTGTTTAATTCACTCTGTGCCTAAAATCCAGACTTGGAAACATGATTGAATTTCTAGACCTGCAGGTCCTGTCACACTATAATGTTTGAGACAACTTTCATTTACCAGCCTATGAACATTTTTTTTCTGTTTAAATAACATGCCATGTATTTGATCTAATTGTTAGCATTGCAGCATGTATATGTTCATAAGAGGCTTCCAGTTGATTTTTGTTTAGTTCATTTGTATTGTAGACATCTTCAAAGTCTGACCAAATTTCTGTAAGTTGTCCAAAACATAGTGACTGGGCCTTACCCAAGCAGAGACACCTGAAGAGAGTAAAGTGTCACTGGAGAGGCTGTAGTCTTTGTATGGACAAATGTCAGTACAATATATATTTCTATGCAACTAAATACCTCAACTTTACCAAAAACTTGCATCAAAATATAAAAAAACAACCATATGTCATACTCCATGTCTGTATAGTTGTCCACAGCAAGGTTGAAAGTTTTTGTTGCAGCATTGCTTCACCAGAATATATTATATTGTACAGTACAGGTTTATTTGAACAGTTAGCTTAGGATGCTATGTGTTTGTGCAGCTAAGTCACTCAGTTTTAACAGAGCATTGTTTTTGAGGACAATAGTAGGACTAATAAAATACAATTCTGTAGTGTGCCGTTCATGTGTACGTTACATTTTATACACCTACCAGTGAGACTTCCCAGCCCAGAAAAGGAAACCCAAACCTTGGTTTAGAGCAGTTAACTTTCACTGGATCTCCAAATCTGAAACAAAATTATTCAGGTTACTAGATGTTGGGAAGTTTTGTTTTAGAAATGCACATTTAATGTGTAAGGTTAGGTAATAATTAGCAATAAGTTTGTTTGTTTCCCAGTAAATAATAGCATCACATATTAAATTCATAACAACCCTTTTTTCATGATRAGTCAGTGAATGTTAAACTTTTAGTGTTTGGTTTTCTTGTAATATCAGGTGCCATAGTCTTTTTTTTTTCATCCTTAAGCATTAGTTGTTCAACAGATTTCATTATTCAAGTTAAATTACAGAGTTGATGTTGGATTTTAAAAAAAGTATGAATGACCATGAGGTGAGTATTGCAGGCATTTCCATGCAGACTGGTTATTGTTAACATGAACACGTTTTAATTAATTTCCTTTAGGCATTGAGTAATTCTTAGTGAGAGACACTTAATTGGGCTACTCAAAATTATCTCATGGCCATGCATTTTTTTATCATCACTGGTTGGGCTCTGTAGTAAACAATAACTGCTAAAGGTACAAATAGAGTGCCATATATTTTTTGTATGTCCAATCAAGTCCCCAACTTCAAAAATTTTTTATCTGGAGCTCTATAATTCCTGAGTACTTTGTATTTTTGTACTACAGTGTAGTTCTAAAATGCAGATTTTTTTGAAAAATTTATAATGGTATTTCTAATCACTTCAGGTCAGCTCAAGGTAATCCAGGACACTGATGTAAATTGCTGTATTAGTTTGTCAACAGACATAATGTGCCACATGCGGGACTCTTGATTTCAAATCCAATCATGCAAAACCATTTTTGTCTGAACGTTTTATTTTCAGACCCCAGTCATTCTCACCTGACCACTAGAATGGATGGTGATATCTTCAGTTCACACCCGGACTCCCCAGAGCTGCTGATGAAGGCGGTGGTCGGGGGGGTGGCGCTGAGGGGAGAAGCCAGGAGGTGTGCTGGTAATGAAGAGGGAGCTGAAATTTGTGATGGGAAAAGTGGAGCAGGAGTGCCAACAGGGGATGATGTAACTGAGGAGACAGCAGTAGTTGGGGGAGTGGGAGAGAAAACAAAGTTACGTGTATTAGCAGTTTATATCAAGAAAAGAAGACAAACCCAAGCTTGGTGATTTTCAAAAATTTGAGCAGGATTCTCATTGTGACCACTGCTTTTTCTACAATGAGCAGGAGAATGTGTCTGCTATGAAAACAATGAGTGGAAACTTGTTTTTTTTAGGTCACAGTGCTTATCAAAACATCTATTTCACAAGATTGTGTGTGTGTGTGTGTGTGTGTGTGTGTGTGTGTGTGTGTGTGTGTGTGNTTTTTTTTTTTTCATTTTGAAAACAGACATTGAAAGGCTCAGTTGATAGAGCTGATGCCTCTCAGCAAGAAGGTTGCCGGTTCAAATCCCAGCCCGGAGACCTTTCTGGGAAGAGTTCGCACGTTCTCTCCATGCATACGTGGGTTCTCTCCGGGTACTCCGGCTTCCTCCCGCAGACCAAAAATGTGAATGTTAGTCTAACTGGTATCTCTAAGTGGTCTCTAGGTGTGAGTGAGAGAGTGAATGGTTGTTTGTCTCYATGTGGCCCTGTGATGGACTGGCAACCTGTCAGTCAATCCACAGACAGCAGTCTGATGACACCAAAATCACTTGCGTGCAATACTCTGTSTCACATGCCTGAAACCACCACTAAAATGGGTCTAAGAAGGCAGAACTGGAAATGGAGACACATTTGGCCAAGGCTGAGTTGATGTGATTGCTTAAAGGCATGCACAAGGAAAAGTGTTCTTGGTACCAGGCCTCGGTCTGTGGTCACTCTTGTAGTTGCCCTATGGCCCCATGTCTTGAACACTCAATAAAGAGGGTCAGAGTTATTAAATGAGTATCAGCTGATGATTAGTTGGATCTGGTGACAGGGAAGACTGTCAGACAGACCTGGTAAATCCAAATGACTAAAGAGGGTGAATTGGAAGTGACTGAAGGAGGTTCCTTGTTGTGAGATCTTAAACTGTCTCCTCTAGGAAAATTTTACACGTCTCAAGAATGGTTAGGAACATACCATGGTCAAAACCTTCATTGCAGATACAACTTCCAAAATCAGAGGTCAGAAGGGTGTTGGTGCGCCTCACTATGATAGCTGAAGGACCGGTTGATGGACACAAATGGTGAAAGCCATCAAGCTGTAGAAGGGGGCCTTAAGATCATGGTTATACCAGAGGACTCCTCAAATGGTTGACGAGTACTGACTATGGCAAAAAAAGGGTTGCAATATTCTGTGGGTGGGGAAGCAAAAATTCTTGCAGTTTCTTATAGAATATGCCTGAAAAAAAGTTTGCCTTAGAAACATAAATCCTTACAGATGTATTTATATCAAATTCTTCCTCATCCTCTGTTTTCATTGTGCTGTATATGCAGTATTGGTACATGCTAAAACATTTATGATGTTGACTCCAAATTTAGACATGAACCCATGAATACGGGGATGTTTCTCTTCCTATATTTATCTTGGCATTGGAAGGTATGAACTCATGAGTCACATTCTCCCACATAATACAGGCAAGGTCAATTGAATGTTGCCATCTTGTGAAATAATACTTTTTTGCTGATCTGTTGTGGACCATTGTTTAATAGCACACTGAATACACCCAGTGTGTTCCTCTGAGGAAGGAAGGACACCCTGCCCAAGGCAAAAGAACTTACTCCTCTTTTGAATCGACCATTGTTCCACCCAATCCTGAACTTGTTCTCCCTCCTATCAGATGATCTCACTCATAAGAGGCATGGTGCTTGTCAAAATTTATTGTTATGTTTCCCGCTTGCCACTCTGCCTGTTTTTACCTGTGATGTTTACACAAACTGTCTTGCCTTGGAGCAAGAAACGTAGAAATATAAACCTGGGACTGAATGACATCTGCCTTTCCTGATTTAGATCTGGATTTTAAATGTCACTTATGAGAAACATTAATAAAATTTCAACAATAATGATGCTGACAAGACCTATTGATGTGATGTACACATTTTTAAAAATCACATTGTTGAGCTGTATTTGTCAGCACAAGTCTAAATAAATGAAAGCATTATTTTAAGAAAAGGATATTGCCCACCACCTTGCATGTCAGTTTTAAGCAAAGATCTTGCATGATCAGTTATTGTTTGGAGTGTGTGTTGTAGATGATACTCAGCTACTACCACACCAAGATTTAACTCAATATTTGTAAAATTGACACAACTGTAATCATTTTTTTATATTCGTGACCTGTGTCAGCCTTCTTAAATCAAGCTGATCCCAAACGTTATAGATGTACATCCAGTGATTAATTTTTTGTAAATTTTAATAAAATCTGTCCTCTGATTTGTAAAATATTTTGCTAACAGTCACAGGCAATCAACTGTTCATCATGGCAGTGGATGATAAATAAAATCTACCCGTTTGGGTAAGCATATGTAAACGAGTGCAGTATTTGTTTAATTACTTTAAAACATATCCCTTATCACACTCTGTAGATACAACTCRAAGTATATGACAGAATTATGCCTCAATCATAAATGTGCTAAAAATAAGTAAGTTGTTAGTATAGACCCAGTATTTACTTTGCTTTTACCCAATTATCAACCTGTCACAAGAGACCAGTTATTTTTATTCTTAGAAACATTACAATGATATACAATTTTACACATCTCTTTGTTTTTAATCAGTATTTTTCAGGTCTAAATTTACTGAGTTTGTCATGTTTATAACTATCATCCTGACATGGTTTAACTCACCTGAGCCAAAGAGCTGAATCAGCACAAGTGTGATGGGCCATCCAGGAGCACACATCCTTCACCGGTTTTCCTGCGCTCTTCTGAGAGGACGAGCTGAAACTGATCTTTCGGACCCACCGTGTGCTCGGAGCTGCTGTCAGCACCGCAGTCTGGGGAGCTCTGAGGCAACTCTGGGTCCTTCAGGCTTCTATGAAAACGTGGGTGTGTCTGCTTGCTCTGCTTCTGTGCGTCTGCAGCTGATGATCAGGCAGTTCCTTTACTCTGGCCTCTAAAAGCCACCCTGGGCGTTCTCTGTTGGTATATCAGGAGAGGAAGGAAGGGAGGGTCAAGAATAAATCAGCACAACACTGCAGCATGAAGGCATAAGTTTGCATATCTGTGTGTCTTTAAGTTACACTGTGAAGCATGGCAAAAGAGAGAATGATATCAAAATACCTTTATTTTCACGTCCTCCGGATGACATTAATTCGATTTTGATCACAGAGCAGGGGTGGGTGCTGGGATTGAGATAGTTTGTTATCTTTGATTTAAAATATTGAAAATTTGTTTTTTAAATGTGTTATGGAATAATTATGTATATCTGTTCTACCTTGACACTGTCCAGTAATCATATCTCATGATAACTAGTTTTGGCTGTTTTAATCTATCAGCCCAGACTTCAAGACTCCAGCAATGCATGACCTCTTTTATTTTGATAAGGTGTTTCCAGGCTGACAGCCCTGTCATTGGTTAGATGGTTCACAGTTGGTGACTGGTTGTAAGCATGTTACAAGATGTTATATTATTGGCTGCTCTGCGCTGGCAAGCCATCCACAACTTGACAGACTTCTCTGATTGACTTCTGCTCTGTTGTTGCTCAAATTAAATCATTTGACGACCATACATGCAGACTTTCTGTGCATTTATTCCAATGTGTTTCTGCATTCTTGGTAAATCATGCCACCACAATTTTTGGCGTTGTCGTTATCGGAGCTCCAAGGACCGGAGTTTGCCCGCAGTGACCGACTTTTTCGGATGACCACTGGACAATGAGAAAAGAAGGCTTTTGTTTTTTCAGCTTCTGAGAAAGCTGACCTGTCTTCTTCTGCTGATCTTGTCCAGGTTGTGATCTGTCCTTACTTCGGCTCCTGTGGGTGACCTTTGGGACTGGTGCTGAAAAGAACCTGTCTGTGACAGAAACACGGTGAGCTAATATTTTCATTAGCACCTTATGCAAAAAGCTACGGCTATTTTCGGCCCACCACACACTGAAATTCTAATTGTTAGACGCTCGTCTGGTCGCTTCTGCGGTTGTTGATTTTAGCCGAGGTAGATTTCGGGAGCGTTTTATTCCAAATTGAGTCAAAACAGGGAGTTTAGCTTTCTGTTTTGAAGTAGCCAAGAGGACATTTGTCTTGGTGAGTGTAGGCAGTTTAGACATGATTAGACTGTTGAGGGAAAATGTAATTTTCCGTTTTTGTTTCTGTTGAGGAGACACAGTAGGCTAAAAGTCATTTTTTAAAAGGCGGCCGCCCAATTTTCAGTATAAGGAAGTTGCATACGGTAGTGCACTGGGCACGAGTTATAACTATGGATCTAGGTTGATTCTGTTGTTCAGCCAATTTCCCCCAGGTTTCTGGGGGAAGAGTGGGCACGGATGGAGTCAGACGGCCAGCCAGCCCGCCCATATAAAGATGAGTAAACTCACACACACGCTCTCATATGTTCTGTAAAAGAAACTTGTTCTTTCTTTCATTTTTTATTGCATGAACGGTAAAAGATACGGAAAAAAAGAAACAAGACAATGGCTGATCTGAAATATGAACTTTGACAAGTATATGTTGAACAAAATATCTGGCATTATTTTAAAGAATGTTTGATAACAAGTGTAGAAGCTTTTTCTATAATCCTTTTTAATTTTTATTGTCTGGGAAAAAAAAGCCTTTTGTTCTCTGCGACAAAGTTTTTCTGTCATTTTAGGCCTCACATGTGGAAAAGCCTTTAATTTTGAATTTTGGGTTTATTTACATTATTTGACAAAGGCTATATTAGTTTGTTTTTGATTACTATTATTCACTGAACAATTGTGCTAGCTCTGTTTGTCTGTCTATCTTTTCTTTTTGTGACTAATTTTTGGTTTTAAGGGTGAACCTGATAATTTTATTTTTTCTTGGATTATGTTTTTGTCAGATGTTTGACCTATGGGTGTTTTTGCATAATTAATGTTTTGCCTATGTGAGGCATGTCTACACAGTTTGTTTGTTTTTTTTACCTTATCTTTTCGTGTTTCCAATAGGTTATTATGGTCTTCACCTGTTTTTTACTAAATTATTTTATCAACTTAATGGAAGAATAAATGCATTTCTTTATTTTTTTTTCWTTTAGTAATCAGTGACAGATTTRGGATTTTTCTGAGTAAGGAGCAATCAAGGAGCCACAATATTCATAAAGGGGCCATGTACTTGCACACAAATCCCCAGTTTCGATCAGGTGCATACATTTAACCAGTAACACATGTACAAACACAAAAGCTTGTGCTGTAAATTCTCCTTACCATTGTTTACATGCATTTTTTTTACTGAACATAGAAAATACTCTCAAACACACGGAATGTGAGAAAATCCAGCCATCATTTATCAGTTGAAGGACTTTTTCTGCAGGATTGTTCAAATTTTCCTAAGAAGGCTGTACCATCGTCATGAGTGTGCATTTGTCGGCTGCACATCACTGCCCCGTGCTGAGTGCTGTCCCAATTCAAAGGCTCCTACTCGGGCGGCTGAGGAACGTAAGGATACATCATCCTTCCCGGCCGAGGGTATACCAAGATTCAATGCACCAACAGCAAACTAAACAGAGAAATGAAGGGATGGAATTTAATTTTTTTTTTTTTTTGCCAAATTGTTGTAGTTTGGAATTCATCACAGAGTGAAAAATTTGTTTTTAAATGTAAGTTTAGCAGCTTAGCTGATGAAATTTCTGCTGCAATAAGATGCTTAAAAACTGCAACTACAAATACGGATACTGGAGCTAAAACCAAATTAATATTTTTTAGTACTATTTATTTACTTGTACCATTTTAATTGTGCAGCCATTCTTCCAGTGAAAAGAGGTGTGAATTATTTGTCGTTTTAAGTCTGATATGAAAACAGTCTCTGTGGTAGTGGTTCCCAAAGTTGGGGTCGGGACCCACAGTGGGGTCCTGAAACATCAAGGTGGGGTCCTGAAAATATTTTCTGAATTAATTACACTAAAAAAATGACAACTAACAAAAATGTTGCCTTTGTTGTTAAAAAATAACAAGGTTAGTGTACTTAGAAGGGACAAAAATCATGTAATAAATAATGTTATATGCGCTTGTTTGCGAAAACAATGTTTATCAACCGAGAACACCTGGGGGCACAGGTCTCTGCTGCTGGTATTTTGTGGGTCAAAAGCTGAAAAGTTTGGGAACCACTGCTCTAACAGGTCATGCAAACATACACCAAGCAAAGGCTAGACCATCTTATTTCACAGCAGTTTTATGCAGCCTACCCAGACTGGGAAGGATATGACCCACATGGCCCAGGTGGGCTACAAGAGGATGCAGCCCATGATTTGAGAGACAGCCTTGTAAGCTTGATTCATGCTGGACTGCCCTGTTTGACTCATTGTTGCCACTAGTGTTTGGACCACAACGGAAATAAGTGTTTCTCACTTTCTTGTGTTATCCAAGTACTAATAATGAATGTACTAGATGTGTATGTACATGCAATATTACAGCTAAATAAAACCAATCAAACATGGAACTGCATCCACCAACATCGCCCTTGCAAAGGACAGATGAGTGACAGAACAGGGGCATTTCAGGGAGCCAATCAGATTTCACCTGGGGCCTGTGGCAGACCATTTTAACTTTTTTTTGGCTAAACTAGATGCATTTTTCATAAATTACAGGTAAATTTGAGATCAGCTGTGCAATAAATATCCGACAAAATTGTTATTTTATTATTAATTTTTATTTGCTCTTTTTTCTACAACTTGTTTTGTTTATCAGCTAAAATCAGAAAACATCTGTTAGGGCTGGTTCCGCTTAACCTTGTTGGGGACCAGGTGAACTTGTGACCTCTGAATGTAATAATGTGTCTGTTGATGTAAATAACTGATTACCGTGTTCTGGGCTCGGCTTGACACTGAGCGCTCGGAAATAAATTGACAAAGGGTTGACTCTCTCGACTTTATTTAAAAGGTTTTGTCTCACTTCATTGATAAATAATTTCCACTACAATTGTTTATTTAATTTTATTTTTGAAAATACGTTTTACACCTTTCTTTTATTACCCTAACCTGACACAACCAGGGAACAACTAATTTCATTGTAGTGCTTGTTACAGTGAAATATATTTGTTTCTGATTGAAATTATTTCATTTATAGGTGCATAGGCCTACTGACTTTTTGTTTCAACATCACAGCCTAAGATCACAATAAACGCAACTGTCTAAATATGCAAATTAGGTAGACTAATAACGTCATCCAGTAACTTATTGACTTTTAGGACAGCCAATGGCTGTTTTCCTCACTGGGGAGGTGCAGCAGTGCCCGCTCTTCAATCATCAGGTCGCCGCTGTTTCTCACTCACTTCCTGTTCTGCAGATTGAATCGAAAGTGAGGCAAAGAAAGAAGAATTCGCCATTTCCTTTCCAGTAAGTTATCAGGTTATTAGTCAGTTGTTAACTTATCTGCACCGCTGTTTTTCTGCGGTCACTTAGTTTTACTTTGGATTTAACAGGGAAAAAAAGGGAAAACTTGTGAAACTTGGATGTGAAGCTGCTTCCCGCTGTCATTGCATCAGACATCTGAGCTGAGGTGCGTAAAACACAAAGTTGGTTTTATTTCTAACTTTGTGCTCTTTGTCTCTGCTCATCATATTAGTAAGCTGATTGTCAGATGCGTCTTTTTATTGTGCGTAAAAGTGTCGGCTCAGCTGCACATCCGCGTCCAGGTGTGTGGCTCATCTTTAACCCTTTAATAACGGATTTATACGCTGTTGGAGCTTCTTTTTTCCTTTTTAATTATTTTTAAGCTCTTTTGTACTCTGTCTGCTGTCCCTCACAGCTTTGATCAAATAAATGCATCTTTCTGCAGCTTCATCTTGTGTTTCTTAATCCTGTGGTGGAAAAACGTTTGTTTGTTTGTTTGTTTGTTTGTTTGTTTGTTTGTTTGTTTGTTTGTTTGTTTGTTTGTTTGTTTGTTTGTTTGTTTGTTTGTTTGTAGAAGCCCTCACATCACAGAGAGGGACCATGTGGCAAAGATACCTTTTAACAACTGGTTTTATCCATAGTGTAGATCAGGGGTGCCCAAACATTTTCCCTGAGAGGGCCAAAATGAAAATCTAACCAGGGCTGYGGGCCAAATGCAGTCATATAATACATGAAATACAAATACTTTTTAAAGTAAAGTCCTTTATTTTTAACGATTAAGCTGTGYAATGGCCCTCTTTTGTTTTAGTCTGTGCTCTTGGAGAAAGTCTGCCATACGCACAAGTAGCAAAGGCTCATGGGACATTTTATAAATTGATAAAATGTGAGTTTTTGTGGCCTTATAAAGTGTGCAAATCTACATGTGTGGTTAAATCTGATCTAAATATTTCTTGTTGTCATTTCATGTTTCATGTTTAATCCTAATAAATCAAAGATAAAGTCAGCACCATGAATGAAAGCTACCTTCAGCCCTTTCATACAGTCATTTGACCAATGGAAATACTGTGTTTCTACATAGGATAACAGCTTACAACCTTGTAACTTTGGCAACTGTTGGTGGGCCAAATCAAATGGCTTGGCGGGCCAAATTTGGCCCGCGGGCCCCACTTTGGGCTCCTCTAGTGTAGATAATAGAACTAATATATAATAGCACACTGCATTGTTGAACTTACAGTGTCCCTAATCTCTAAAATAAACAAATTGATCTTGTGTTTTACTCTGCAGCTACTCTATCAGCTATCAGCTACTCCATCCGTAAAATGCAGAAATGCAAATATATTCATTTATGTCTAAAATGCAAACAGATGACTTATGGTCACCTGCTGCCATGGAGAAAAACCGGATGGATGGATGGATGGATGGATGGATGGATGGATGGATGGATGGATGGATGGATCATACTTCATAACAATACAGCTTCAACTCCCAACTCAACTATAAAAAAGGCAAAATAACCATATATAACCATTTATAAGCAAATTATGTCTACATACTGTAATTCCAAATAATATTAACAAAACAGTCAATTTCCCATCGTAACTGACCATTCAAATCCTAATTCATCATTCAATTAAATATTATTTCAATATAATATATTAGATAGTTTTTAAATATGTCATGAAGTTTATTTCTATAGCACATTTCAGCAACAAGGCAGTTCAAAGTGCTTTGCATAATAAAAACATAATACAGTCACCAATTATGAAACAAGCAATAAACATTGTATTTTGTCAAATGCATAATTAAAATCATCAAACAAATACACATCAAATATGTTGATCAATGTTCCACTTATATTAATCAAAGGCAACTCTAAAGTGGGTTTTTAGTCTTGATTTAAAGGAACTCTGTTACAATAAACGTTAATTTTGAAGGCAACGTATTGCAGTAAAAAATGACTATACATACCGTATTTCTCAGTGCATTAGTTCTGGGCAGAGAACGTGTAATGGTACAACAGAGGCTTGTTGGTCAAAACAAGTCTTTTAGAGTTATAACGGTGAGAAAATGCCACATGGTTCTTGTAAAATCTTGTCAAATTTTGTGTAATAATGAAGGAAGACTGCATACAAGTTTGGCATTGACCTTCATCCATGACAGGCTTTGATGCATGAAGTTAACAAAGTTCTAAAATCACAACTAAGTGCTACTCCTTCAGCTTTGTTCTGAACTATCTGCAGTTTATCCAAATTGAACAGTAAGGTGACACAAAACTATAGACTGTACTTATTTTTCTTTTTCCAGGAGACATAAAACAAGCATTACATCAAATTACTGGAATATTTCTGCTCATTTTAGTTACAATCATATGAGTCTATTACTTGATCAATTACTCCCAGCAGTTTAGTTTCTTTAACTTGTTCTATTTGGTGATTATTCAAAGAAATTTCTAACATTTAAGTTTGTCTGAGAGAATATTTAGAGTCCAATATCATACACTTGATTGATTTATCCATATCCCAGAAAACAAGTTCTAATTTGCTGGGTGAATTAAAAAAAAGGCAAAAGTGTTCTGATTGAACCTTTCAAGATGCATTAGTTGCTTCATTTTATTTTAGTGTTTTAATWTAAAAAAAGGAGATTATTGCTCATATTTCAAAGTGGCATCAATTTTCATATTTCAGTTTGTCAAAAAGCAGTGACGTATCCTATCAGTGGGGTGTTAAAAGGAAAATCCTTTTTTTTTTCTCCTCAGTGAACAGACATGGCCTCAGAGCTGCTCCTCAACGTTCTGGAGGATGTGCGTCAAGACGACTTTGAAACATTTAAGTGGTACTTGACACAGAAAGTCCTTAAGGATTGCAGACCAGTTCCTAAGTCTTATCTGGAGAACGCCACCCGGACGAGGACTGTGACGAGGATGATCGAGAGCTACGGTGAAGACCTGGCAGTGAAAATCACTGTTGAGATCCTGAGAAAGCAGTGCAACAATGATTTGGCAGATAAGTTAAACAAAAACTATGTAGGTGAATATGATTTTTTTTAGACTGGCCTACACATCTGTAGTTTGTCTTTTTGTCTGACTGTTGCCTGATTTTTGTTTTTGCATCTTCAGAAAAGGTAAAGCCTGCATCGTCCAGCTGCAGCACCYCTGCTGTGACTTCTCCACCTGCTGCTGCAGCTGCTGTGTCTGCTCAGGGGGGCAGTGTGGTCATCGCTCCGACGCTCAACAGCAGCACCACCGGGTCGTGGAACATAAACATCCATAAAGCTTAATTTAACTAATTGAACGCAGTGAAACTGGTTTTAAAAAGGTGATACTGTGTGAGAAAAATGTTTCTCTGGATTTAGTCAAAGTTTTCATTACCTTTTTACTTTGGATCTATTTGTAATTCCATAAGTTTTAATAAATATTTTTAAACCATATTCTTGTTGTATGAGAAAGCACATTTATGTCCTGTTTGCTGCAGTATGTAAAAAGCATTMTAGATGCTAGTCTGTTCAGAAATGAGCAGGAACTCCAATTTAAGTTTTACATGTCCTTTTCCTGTCTTGTCCATGCTTTGTAAATAACATCATTATATGAGAACACAAGTAAAAGAATACAGTTCTACCCAACCCAACACATTTTGACTTACTTTGCTCTCACAGAGCACTGATTCCCACCTGGTAGCTRGGTCAGCTGTTCTGTCAGCTGGTTTAAAATAAACAAAGCTGAAATCAACACACTTCCTGTTTGAGGGATTATGAAATTTTGATTATCGTTTATACTGTCTTATAAATTCCATGTCGTTCTATAAAGTGCCTTCAACACTTCAATGAAATTAAACTAGCATTATTTTCTGTTGGAAATCACGTAGCAACCTAAAATTGTTTAAGTTAGTAATCACAAATGTTTTAAAGCACATGCAAGCATTGTTAAATTGCACTTTAATTCGATGTCAGCCACGCAACTTTGCCTATTATGATAGCAGGCATTGAGGACGTGGAGGGTTTACTGATGACGACGTCACATGTGAATCACGTGATCACATCTCGGCTCATTTCGCGTGCTGCAAGCTGCTATTGCAACGTAGACATTAAAGCCTCGTAGTCATAAACAAAAGTGATATATAATTGAGTATTTTAAAAAATAATAGCGCTTTATAACTAATGTCCTCCTTAGCGGACAAGGACTCATCTCAGATGTGGAAAAAAACGAGTGTATTTTCTGGATGACGCTTCACGCTGCTGTCTGTGCCTCGTTACGCTACTGATCCAAACCAGGAAGTAAAATGCTGTCGTCGTCTACAAGCTAGCTGTTACTTTTCGCGATGAAAGAACACATACAGAAACATTACTACACGAGGTTATAATTCAGCAAGAATTAACGTTATTGGTGTCTCTGCGTATGTATTTATAGCTATTTTAAATAGAATCGTCACTGTATCTGGCCTTTGAGCCCATAGCTAGCCAGCTTGTTGATTAGCTATCTGGGGAGGATTGTCATCGCTAATAGTTTATGTTAGCAGGTTAGGTTTGGTGATGGCTGCGGCACAAATAAAATGCTTTCTGGTCAGCGTTTCACTTTTATTGCTGCTGTCTGTGTGCAACGCGAGGATACACAGGCTCAGCCTGAAGGTAAGTTAACGGGATGCTTCTTGTGTTGTAGGTATGTCGACATTAGCTAGGCGGCTAGCACCAAACGTGTCAGTGATGAAAGCGATAGCTGCGTTTGTTTGTTTTATAGTATACAGCCCTGGCCTTACCCTTTGTATTTTTTATTTTTTTCAGAATGAAACACGGTTTGTAGTCGACCTCAATAACTTTGGTTTCTACGCCAATGGGACTTTAGATGTGAACCTGAGTGAGTTGTGGGTCGAAAAGTTGGACTACACACCGTATCCAGTAAGTTTGTTTGTTTGTTTATGTTTATTACTTAAGTTTGGGTGGAAGTGAATCAAAATAGAGCACTATTTGTTGTGTACTTTATTAAAGAAATTTGCAATTAAGACAAAAGTATATACAGCATACTGAACTAAAATACAGGAAGTCTGCTATGTTTTCATGCATTTGCTACCTTTTTGTGATTTCAAAATTTCTGAGCGTTTAAGGTTGCAACCGCTATTTTTTGTTACAGAGGTGTAATTTTTGGTGACATCACAGTTCTTTTCAAACAGGCGTTTACGATTGATGCCTATCTGCAGGTGCCACTTCATTCAGCATGGGTGGTTTTAACCAAAGCTGACACATGCATGCATAAAAGTATTTGGCCACCCCTGGTAATTGCTGAATTCAGGGTTTTCAGTCAAGGTCTTGTTTATTCCTGTTGTCTCTTCAATGATGCAGATCTCAGGTGATGCCTGCATACCWGGCATGCCAATGATGTTAGAGATTGTTATGGCAATATTTATTTAACAAAGACAGAAATGCATGGTCCAAGAATGAAGGTACTCCGTGGGATGATCAGCTGAGTTTTATTGCAACAACAGGATCACAGAGAACCTGGCCTGTCTCTGTGCCTCTGCTTCTCTCGGTCACTGTCTCTCCACACTACTCACTGTGTCTCGAGAGGCCTTATATAAACACCATTATGTCATCTTAGCAAGATTTGATACAAGTTCAATGGAAAACACAAAGATAAACACAATATCTAAGAATGACTGTTGTTAGCAAATCTTTTTCTGACTTTAATCATTCTGACTGCAGATGAACAGCATGTCATGAAAACCTAGGTAATTAAAGGATGTCATAAATAACTAGTTTAAACATAAAAGCATTAGATCCATTACAAGATTATGCTTCCAAGATTGAGGCAACACTTCATGGGATGCCCCTTTCCATCCTAGCATGACTGTGCTCAGTGAGGTGTTTTGGCTAGAGGCACTATTGTGAACTTTCTTGGTCAGAGAGTGGCCGCTTTGTTCTGGGCAAGGACAACTTAACAGGCATTATTGTTAGCTGGTGAGGCTGAAAGTTGTAACCGTGTTAAATTTAGGTTARCACAACAATGAAACTCGATTTGTTATTGACAGCCTTTTGATAGAAACGCTTGTCGGTATGTATTATCCTATTAGGCAAAAACATGTTGTCAAGGTCCACACATCTGCAATGAGTGATGAAGGCGTAAGCTGGCMAATGAGAATAATTTTTATATGCAATTTTACACAGAAATAAATGGTAGACATGATAAATTGATTACACTGACAGCCCGCAACCCTTTCAATCTAGTGTCACACTTGTACCACAGGGGTCAGTCTTCTGAATTATTAGTGCCACCTCAAGCTAATACACCTCGTTGACTAGCCTCCAGTGCATGAGGAAGGACCATAAAAACATGGTTATGTGAATGAACTTGACTGGCCCACTGTCCTGTCCTTAACCCCATCAGGACCAGACCTTTTCATCCAGCATCAGTGCCTGACCTCCTGCTGTAAATTCTCTACAGAATGAATGGGCACAAAATCACTTAAAAATCTCATGGAAAGCTTTCCAAGAAGAATGGAAACTTGTCATAATTGCAGAAAAAAAGAGTCTCACTCTATGTAGTTCCTGATGATGCTAGGTTCCTGGTAGGGCTGCACAATGTAGATAACAGCCTGTGTAATATGCATATTGCAAAAAAACTGAATAAACTGCAATAAATGGTTGGCTCAAAACTCTGCATTTATGTGTTTTGTAACTCAGAAAGTAGCTTGAGCTCTACACCCTCAGCAGGGTCCTGGAGGGTGCATGGGAGTTCACCCAACCTGTCTACATTGTGGACTTGGAGAAGGCATTCGACCGTGTCCCTCGGGGACTCCTGTGGGGGGTACTTCCGGAGTATGGGGTACCAGACCCATTGATATGGGCTGTTTGGTCCCTGTATGACTGGTGCCACAGCTTGGTCCGCATTGCCGGTAGTAAGTCGGACTCGTTTCTGGTGAGGGTTGGATTCTGCCAAGGTTGCTCTTTGTCACAGATTCTGTTCATAAGTTTTATGGACAGAATTTCTAGGAGCAGCCAAGGTGTTGAGGGGATCTGTTTTGGTGAACTTAGGATCACATCTCAGCTTTTTGTGGATGATGTGGTCCTATTGGCTTCATCAGATCATGATCTCCAGCTCTCACTGGAGCAGTTCACAGCCAAGTATGAAGCGGCCGGGATGAGGATCAGTGCCTCCAAATCCGAGACCATAGTCTTGAGCCGGAAACTGGTAGTGTGGAACTTTGGGTAGTGACTGAAAGAACGAGATCACAGATACAAGCGGCTGAAATAATTTTCCTCCACAGGGTGTCTGGGCTCTCTCTTAGAGAGAGGGTGAGATGCTCAGTCATCCAGGAGGGACTCAGAGTAGAGCCGCTGCTCCTCCACGTCGAGAGGAGTCAGTTGAGGTGGCTCGGRCATCTGGTTAGGATGCCTCCTGGATGCCTCCCTGGTGAGGTGTTCCGGGCATGTCCCACTGGGAGGAGGCCCAGAGGAAGACCAGGACACGCTGGAGGGACTACGTTTCTCGGCTGGCCTGGGAACGCCTTGGGATCCCCCCGGACGAGCTGGCCCAAGTGGCTGGGGAGAGGGAAGTCTGGGTCTCTCTGCTTAGGCTGTTGCCCCCGCGACCCGATCCCGGATAAGCGGCAGAAAACGGATGGACGGACGGACAGTAGCTTGAAGTATTTCACCAATCAAATGAAGCCCTTCACGTATTTGGTCAAGTGGATGGATCTCTTCTGGATGGATTAAAAAATTCATGCTGGAATGGAAATTCTTAATTTTTGTTGTTGTTTTTGCTCTGAACCCAGAGTAGAAAGATATACCTTTATATTTGTTTGCAAGTCATATCATCATCTTGCAATATTAAGCACTGTTATTGCACATTGCAGRTTTTCCAAAATTTGTGCAGCCTTTCTTCCTGGTGTTACCAACTGCTTGTTTTCATTTAGTGTAGGAACTCTGTGGTGGTACATTCAGCTGTGGATGTGTTTTGCTGGTTCACCATCAATATTTCTGCTTTTAGGTTGGTTTTAGCCTGTCCAGGTCACGTGTCAGTGGCATGTTGTCCTACACTGTAAGTATATTTTGTTATATTTAGGTCAGTAAATTATACACAACATTTTAGAGCCCTTTTGAATTAGTTAATATGCTTTCTATCAAAACATTTAAGATAAATTGTGTTAAAATGCTTTTAATAGTTTAAACTCCTTGATGAGATTTGTGGTAATACAATGTTGATTTAGTTATTTTCAGATGTGATGGTGTGACCCTTTGTTGTATCTTTGTAGGCAGAGGTGACCGAACCTTGCCCACTCAAAATGCAGAACACAACCAATAACGAACACGATGAGCCRCTCATTTTTTTTGTTATTGATGTCATGAAACCGAGGTGTGTATATTTTAACTTCAACATGCTTTTGCATTTTTGACAATGCCTTTTGTGATGGTTGACTGTATCATTTGTACGTGTAGTGTCAGTGTGACGACAAGGGGTGTTCAAGACAACATCTTGTTTGCAAATGTGACGGAAGAAGCAAATAAAAGTTAGTGTTGTTCACACTTTACACTTTCTCAAAAGCATGCAGCAGAGCAATAGATGTAAATGGTTTAAACAGACAGAGATTTAACTTGGTGTTGGTTTTTATACTTGTGTTTTTCAGTCCAGAGGAAAGTTAGAGAGAGTTCTGCTAATAACAAAGACAAAAAGTCAAAAGAGTCTGAGGAACAGAAGAAAGAAGCTCGGACAGAAGAAAAGCAAACCCCAGAAAGGGAAGTTAAAAAAGAGAAGGCGAAAGAATATCCTGTAAGCTGCATTTGTGCAACTGGATGTTTATTGTGAACTTCTCTTGAAATCAGTTTTCTAACTGTATTTTCTTATAGCTGGACGAAGATACTAAGCTGACTTTAGCTTTGGACAAAGGAAATGGCTTTTACAACTTCAGTGTAAGTGCACTGTTCTTAACTATTAGATTTGTTATTAAAGGGTTCCATGATTAGTTGTAACATTAGACTTTATTTGATAAACATATTTTAACTGTAAAATAAAGACTGTAAAAATACTGTAGACTGTTTAGTTTTTATCATTTTTAAACTAAAAGTTTAAAAAGAGATTACATGGATGTGGCCATTTTATTTACACGCAAAACATTCTGGGTAAATGAAGACTTGGATAGGATTGGTGCGAGGCTGCTAGCGAGCTATGTCCACCCTGAAGGTTAATCTTGGACAATATCTGACGATCGACTCTTTTAAATGAAACCAGAGAGCGTTGACAGAGAGGAGAAGGTAGAAATGACTCAGCCTGTAACTGAAAATATAGATGGAGGACAACAGAGCTGCTTCATGGAAGAAGAACCTCAGCTTAGCCTGTTAGCCTTTGCGATAGTGCTGATACTAAATGTGTTAGCTCAGCGCTAGCG